AGTAGATCGGGAATTTTAAGAGAGACAGGTGCACTGCGACATTTTCGCTCGCAGAAGAAGGCTTTCCACCGATAAACATACGTGCACACACTTTAACGGTCTCTTTTTTCCTTTTGTTTCTTTTTTTTTTTTTTTTTTTTTTAAAAAGAGGGAAAGGAGCATTGTAGATTCATGCATATGCATCGGTTGTTTTAAGTACAATGTACCGCTACCGGTGACCTTCGTCACGACAACCTTCCATCCGACTTTATTTAATTTGCACGTGCATATAGGTGCCTACATTCATCGGTTGAAAAATATTTTACAACCGAAAGGGAGTGATCGCCTGATGAAACTTGCCGGCTCGCACTGTATTGCAAAAGAAAAAAACTTATGTTTTTTTTCACCGTTTTCCATTTTCTATTACCTGTGTAAATAAAGACCGAGTTTGTCCTTTATTACCATCATTTGGAAAGATCTCTCTGTTCTTGCAGACACACTTTTTTACCCAAAATAAAGAACGAGTATGTAAGAATGAAGTTGTTATTATCCCCAAATGAAAGCACTTTTGAGAAACTCCTCAACTTTTATCAAGAGTATTGGCAGTAGAAAGAGCAAAATACAAAAATATCCCTTTACAGCCAGGAACAACTGTTTACATTTAATGGCGGTTGAATGGAACGAAAGCATCGTTCGTGTTGATTTACGAAGCAACGTCACGTCCACTAGATTTGCAGAAACTCGAAACGTGTCGTAAATCACATTGTCCGGTTCCCATTCGCGAAGCGCCACGCGACGAGAAGATAGAAAACTAGAACGATGTCTCTAAACAGTTCCCCAAACAAACTACTAATCCGTAAGCATGAGACTATTTACAATCGAACGGAGTTTTCACCTATTTTTTTTTTCTCTCCTCCTTCTTCTACTTCCCTCCAAGACTATCATTTTCATTCGAAGTGGTCGAACTGTCGTTTGCTAAAAGGTTTGCCTTGCTGTTTCCACAGGGTAGATGGCGAGGACGTAAGACTGATGCTGTGGGATACTGCCGGTCAAGAGGAATTCGACGCAATCACCGCGGCTTATTATCGTGGCGCCCATGCCTGCGTCCTCGCTTATTCAGCTACCGACAGAGATTCCTTCGACGCCATTCCTTCGTGGAAGCTGAAGGTACGACTTTCGTACACACGAGACATACACATCGTGCTGAACCGGTGCAAGCACGTTTCCGTAGGTAGAGTCACGACGGATGGTGGAATGTGAAAGTGAAGGTGCCATTAAAGCAGGGGGCTGATTTTAAGTCGCTCCACGGCTGAACATTTCCACAGGTAGTGACACACGCGGTCTTAGATAGTTTTGCGAAAATGTGTCTCGTAGAATCAGAGGGGATCTGTTACACGACCCTGTTAAAAGTCTTCTTTATCGATGTTGTCTCCGCTATTTTCCTACAGTTTTTTTTATTGTTGGTATTTTCGTATATTGAAATTGTAACGTAACGTGTGTGGTCGAGTCAAATATTTCATCAACGAAACCACGTAATTTTGAATAATTTAGAAAATTTCTAGTACTCCTTGCATAATACCTTATTTCAAGATTCTTTTGAAATAGTTCGGTAAACAAAAAAAAAAACTGACTCTTTCATAACTAAAGTAAAGAATGTATATAATTGTCGTAGTATATATCGGCGGTAATGCGTTAAAAGTGCTTATTTAGAGAATTGTCTTTATACGCGGCGTTCCTCACCTTTCTTCGTACACGCTCGACGGAACAATGTGATATTTTAGCAACGCGAATAATTGGCAGTTAGTCAGCGTTATAGTACTATGTAAAGATCAGCAACAAGGCTAGAGAAATTTAATTATTTCGGTGAAAACTGCTGTAACGTATTCTATTCTAGTTCATATACAAGATTAATAATGATGGTATTAATACGTTCGTCTAACTAACTAATTCACGGCAAAGCATGTGGAAAAGTATATTGGTAGCAGACGACGTCGATCATCGTTCAAGATCATGGAATACGCTCTCGAATTCCTTTCGTAGAAAACTTGTACGTTCGCTTTTTTCTTTCGTTCCAGAGAGACACGGTCGAGAAAGGTGTAACCGAGCCTGGAACAGATATAAATCGGCGTGAATAGTCGCCATTGCGAATCATATTTTACCTTGATACGGCCGTATTTTATCTGTCTTCCATGGTAAACTAAATGAAGTTGTACATTTAAAATTTATACTTGACCTCTTCCTTTCTAACTTGCACGAATTTTCACAAATCTCAACTCTAGCCAGTCAGCGAAGGAAACAAAAAAAAACTTCGAGTTCTGATAAAAGCGGGACGATCTATTTTTATTTTCCAGGTGGAGAACGAGTGCGGCGAAATTCCCACGGTTCTTGTACAGAACAAGATGGATCTCGTTGATCAGTGCGTCATTGATCCGTAAGCATAACGCCTGCTTTGTTCGATTAGCAGCGCAATTTCGAGTAATCTCGAGCATAGACGATTGTTTCAGGGACGAAGCTGAGAGGCTTGGTCGCGCTCTAGGCTGCAAGCTTTTAAGAACGTCTGTGAAAGAGGACGTCGGAGTCATGAGCGTCTTCCGGCACTTGGCGTCACGATGTCTCCACGAGATGCGTCGCTGCGACGACGATTATCAGGATGACCTGAGATTGTACTCAGCCGGGCCTAGATCTCCTTCTGTAATAAGTGAGTCGATCTCCTTCACTTCGATTTTGTCTTCGTCGACAATAGTCGAAACATACAAACAAAAGAGTTCACACTTCCACCTATGTATAATATAATCTTCTCAATACGAAATCTACTAATTGTTTCTAATTTTTATCTCTCATACGTTTACTTCTACACCGATTTTAGCAAATTTAGCAAAAAGTGTTTCAAATCAAGCTAGTAATTTTTGTGTATAGTGTAGATGGGGATAGCTCAGTCGGTAAAGCATCAGACTCTTAATCTGAGGGTCCAGGGTTCGAGCCCCTGTTCGGGCGAAAAAAAAAAGAAAGACAATTGTGTCCTTTAGGACACAATAGCACGGGAGAGCTCTGTGTGGTATAAAAAGGTGTCCCGGAGCTCTCCCAACGTGAGAAGGAGGACGGCCATCGTGGAGGTTTTTAGTTGGTAAAAATCCGACATTACCTGGGCCTTCCTTTAAAAGACTCTCAGGTGTCTCATGAAGATTTCCTCCACATAAAAAAAAAAAAAAAAAAAAAGTAATTTTGTGTATACTAAGATTTCGTTCGTTTCAGGCGCGAAGAATGTGGAAAATTGGTAATGAATGGTATCGTTGATCGCGGTTCGCATCGGCTATTAAACGCACCGATTTGTACGTAAGAGAACAATGGAGAACAAGCTGACCACTTGTTTTAGCCGGTGAATATAGCTGTGTGAAAAGAACAGTGCGCTTTCTTGGAAACTCCTCCAGAAGATGCATAATGTATTAACTCTGCCGGATACGCACGCTTGTACTTACGGGTTGAGTTGATTCTCTAGTGCCTTTTGTCTTTAAGTATATCGTCATCACGTTTGTGACTTGTGCGAGGAGACGGATATGTCAGGCCAGATTCGAAATAGATCTCGGCAATTTTTTTTACTCTTTTTTGCCACGTATATTTTCCCCTTATTTTTGTGGCTCAAAGCATTCGAAGAATGTTTTCAACGTTGCAACTGATTCATTGCCGATAAGATGAAGAAACTACTCTGTTTAATTTGATTCACAAAATCTGTGCAACCACAATATGTGCTGATGCACAAACATTTAATGCTACAGCCACTATAACAGAATATATCACTAAATTGCGTATAATTATTAAATCACTTTTGTATGTCGATCGGTCATTGGCACGTGCGATGAAACGGTACATTTTATACGGATCAAATTTAATGTATTGATACCTAAATGAAATCTCAAAATGATCATCTAGATAAAAAGATATGAAAATTTAGGACAAATTATTATGTCGTATTGTAATTGTTCAAGGTAATAAAACAAAGCAGACCTTTAAGTATGGATACAATCAAAAGTAAATATTATATTAATGCTGATTTATTATTAGCATTATTTTAGACGAGTTCCTGTAAGGTATAAATACAATTTCAGATCGCGTGACTCCAAACACCGGTCTTAATTCTTGAATAACATGCAAGTGTAAATACATAATGCACATGTACATTTCTCACGTGTTATCAGATATTGTTCTAAGGATGAACCTTTTAGCTTTGCGATAGCTTTGAGGAAATTGTTTGAAGTAAATTCATTCTGATGAAATAGAGATTAAAATGGATCTAACAACAAATGATATTTAGTTCAGAGACAAAAAGTCATCTAATTACTCTTATGTGATGATTTAATCTAACAATTAGATTAAATTACATTTTGGCCATGAAAATATTTAGAGCATAATATTCAAAGTGTTTTACACTCATATATGGGTTATATACATGGTAAAATAGAAAAAAAATATTAATCACATTTAGATACTGCCAAATCGATTTTTTATCGTTGCTATTAATTATTTTAATAAGTTTCCTTCGAATGTAATAGATAAAAATGAAAAAAAAGTTACACTATAGTAATCGATTGCATATAATTTGTTTATTTGTTAACATTAATTGTACAAGCAATTGTACAAGTAATTGTTTACAAGATATACATTATTTACAGAATTAACACAATATATTGATTAATGTTTATAAAACTATCTTGTAACATATAATTATTTAACATAATACATTAACGTGTGAACATGAAACGGGGAGTGTCAGAAATTGTACTATAAATTCAGTATCACTAGCTTCAAATTGTGAACTTCACAATTTATGAAAATATATTCTGTTATAGGTGCATTTAGTCCAAATGGATCCACATGTGGTCGGAGTACAGGGAATGGTACCATAGTCTTGCGGCCAGGAGCCAAGGCAAAGAATCATAAAAAGAGGAATTTTGTAAAAAACGCTTGTAGGCTACTTTAATCTTTGCGTGGATAAGTACGCGATAAATTGTAGCGAATACTTCAACCATGTACAGACTTATATATTCGTATTTATGAAAATATAACTAATTTTTATATAATTGTTTCGATGCTTATAAAATGATTTGACGATACACACAGTGTAGAGTATCAAAAACATAACAAGAGAACACATGAATGCAAATAATTTTGAACAATATTGTTACATTCATTAATTTGTGATATATTTCCTTTGATAAACTATTTTAGATGAACAATTATAAATGAACTGCCATTTTACAGCTCACTTTCAACTTATTTCAATTATGCATTTAATGTTTATTATAATTATAAATGAAAAAAATATATATATAACTACACACTTTGCTTATTTAGATACTTTCATTAAACAAAACATAAGAAAAGTAAAAAATTTTAGAAAATATATTAAGTACAAAATAAAGAAAAAGAGTATAATTTGTTTCAAATTGTAACTGAATAATTTTTCATGTTGAAGTGATAATGCATCTTTTTATATATGAATTCTTTTTATAAAATATTAATTTTTCTAATATTTGCATATTATAAATATATGTAAATATGTTAATTTTTAAACATTTTATTGTTTTAAATATTCCCTGTATTAAGTACTTTTTATATTTGTGTTAAAAACATAAAATATTTTTTAATAGATTTATGTTTCTGTAAATATGAACGCTGAAAATGAACATAATATCTTTTTATATAAGTCACATACTGAGTTATTAAATTGTAAATCATTAGTGAAAGGAAATGATACAATTTTAAATATCTTAATTTAGTAAAATAGAATGTTTAATAATTAAAAATGTTTTAAATTACTTCACATAAGTTCTTAAAAAATATTATTGTCATTAATTTATATGTAAACAAATACTGATATAATAGCTAACCAAATATTCTAGTTTATAAGGAAGAAAATATTATGTTGATAAATAATACTTTTTTGTGAATCACAACTATAAAATATCATTAAAAATAAATTGTTTTAATTTTTAAGGAATCTATTTTAATTAATACCTCCAAATAATTGCTGAAGGTTTACAAAAAAAAAAAATATATATGTATTTGAAGTATATTACAAATTTTTAATCAATTATGTTAAAAGTAGATATTAGCAAAACTTAAATTCTTCTACAATTATTTTTATTATGAACTATACAATGTTTCAAAATTTCAAATTTATATTAAAACCAAAATGACACATCACATTTAAAAAATATTTTAATCAAATCTTTTAATAAAAACAATGAATAGTAATTATATGTAACTAAAATAGCTTGGTAAAACATGCTAGTACATTAATATAATAAATAGCAATCTTTTTAATAAGTAAAATAATAATGTAAACAAAATAAAATGGAAATCAATTAATTCTTATATAAGTTAAATAATTTTTGAAAACTATGTTAGCCAGATTGTACATAAAATATTTATTCCTTTTCTAATAAATATGCAAGAAATCATAAATTTTGTAGTAAATATGATTATGATTTTAATCTACAATATTAAAATAAAGTTATATTACAACTTTATATTTAAAATATGAAGAGTCACATTTTTAACACAATTAGAATTTGTATATGATTTTCATGAACATTTTTTAATAGTTTTTTTTATAGTAGGAAGTACTATTAATTTCAAATAGCCAAAATAATGAAATTAATAATTATTGTAAGGTAGGCATATTAGAATGATTACTAAGTAATATTACATTTATATAATATCCACGCACAGATCAAATTTCGAAAAATTTTAATATATATGCCAACATCTATTTCTATCATATATATATAAAATTTAAAAAAATTTAATGATTTATTTCTATCTATCCATAATCAAATTCTCAGAGATCAATTAACATAAAATATATCTTGTATTTATATTATCTATTTTGCTTCTTTTCAAATACAGATTCTAATAAGGTTTATGTTACTTTTAATATAGCTTTCTATATATATTATTTAATCATTTATTTTAAACTTAAATTTGAATTTTTAAAATAAATACAGAAACATTTTTCTTTGTTACAATAATTTTATGATTACTTCCTACTATAATTATTGGGCATATACAAATGTAATGTGCATAAAAGCTTGCTTACGTAAATGGTAAGACATAGAAATAGTACATGTAGAGGAAATAATCCACATTATTTACTTTTCTACATTTACTATAGGCATTACCACTGAATTATCAAGCACCCACTTTGATCAGCTTTTACTTTTTTTTGAATCTCCTTTCAGATAATTAGTACAAACTAATTATTTATTTGAAGAGTAACTTATCTTTTTAAAATCAATTATTTCAAATTTTACAACAATTGAATTGTATGCATTTTGTCAATGTAATCTAATAATCCTTGTAGCCTTTTCTTTATTCGTTTCTGATCATCCATAGTACATCCAAGAATAGCTGTTTCAAAGTTTTTATCAGAATTACCAACACTTTGTGAGGAACAAGCATTCATAAAAGATGCACATCGTAGTCTAGTTCCAACTGGATCATCACGAAGACCAACAATTAGACTATCGATCAAACCATTTACCTGAATGAATCAGTTTATATTAAAAACTACATTAAAGAAAATAATGGTAAATTGATATAAAATATATAATGCAATTAATACCTGATGTAGTGCTTCCTCTTGAATCTGATCACGCTGAATTTTAACCAATACATCTACTGTCAAACATCGCATAGACAATCTTTCAGCATACCTCAGTACATCATCCTTGTCAGCTATTTTCACAAATAACATTGAATAATAATTTTGAATAATCATCTTTTATAGGTTAGGTTTAACAAAACAAAAATAGTAACACACATAACAATTATTTAATATCATAATGATACTTAATAGTAGTACAAAGGAAACTTTTACAAATATTTTTAATATTTCTTAAGATGTTTCTCTTGTAAGAAAACTTTCTTAAGATGTTTCTATATATTAGAGTTGATCTTGCATTTTCAAAATGTAAGACGAATACTTACTTTCCCCTAGTCCACTTAGAATTTCATCGTTTCTAAGTGTGTCTAAGGTGGTCAGGAGTGTATCTTTCTCTTCTTCGAGTCTCCAGGCATCTTTCCTTAGTTGTTCTACATGCACTTCGATTTGATCAAGAAGTCTAACTAACCTGTCTTTCGGTTTTGTTGAACCATCACAATCTGCACTTTCCATAATATGTGGTAATGGACTGTCCATTCTTTTTTTTAAATTCTCAATAGTTGGTCGTCAATAATTTATCTTTACGTATTAACGAAATGAGAAATCACATTCGGACACGAGGTATAACACAACGTTTTACTCGCGGTCAAATTTATATCCTCGGATGCCCGAAATAAGTGTTAGCGTTGGTACTGTGATACGAAAAGATGACTGACAAAGCATGTCCAACACACACACACACACACACACACACACACACACA